ACTAATCATCACATTTCAATGAGACTTGCGACATTTTTTCTAGGACTATGCAGAGACCTGATTAATTTTGGGATAAATAATTGTGCCTATTAATTACCTAATCTGCATAATTAGTTAATTTTTTGCTGTTCTATGGCTGTTGCACCGATGTCTAAAAACCACTCATTGGATTTCAATGAAACTTTTAAAGAGTACCCATCACATTTCAATGAACCTCAGACTATGCACCATATTAATTTTTAGTAAATATTTATGCTTCTTAATCACCTAATTAACATAATTAATTAATACTGATATCTCAAGTATTGATCATTGCATTTGAATAAAACTTGGTACATAAATGCTCTAGGACAATAGACAGCCTGATTAATTTTGGGTTAAAATCTGTTCATATTAATTCTCTAATTAGCATAATAATTAATATTTTTTTGGTTCTCATCACATTTCAATGAAACTTGGTACATTGTGCAGACCTTTAGTTTTACACTTAAATCTGTTCATATTAGTTACCTTATTTGCATAATTAGTTTTCAGCTATTCCATCAATATCTCAAGTATAAGTAATTTGTGTCTCCAAAACTTTCAGCACACGGGAGTTCTTTCTAAGCTTTCTTTGATTTAACAAGAAGTCAAAATATCACTTTTTACCAAAAATGACAAAAATATTCACAAAAAATAGAGAATTTGAGATTTTGACATGAAATGAACACGTATATCAAATTTGAAAACATTCTGACTTGCGGTTTCGAAGAAGAAGTTGAAATTGTAAAGTTGGAGACGACAGACAATTAGTAATATGAACAGCTCTGCTGTGTCGACAGTGGCGCTAAAAATTATACATGTAAATTTTGTGAATACATTCTTAACAAGTTTTACACGTATGATCTACCATCTATATAATGATTTACCGTAAGCATCTTCGTCAGGATCTCCAGAGTAATATTCTAATACTGTCCGATAAACTGTGTATCCAATTCGCTTGTACATATCTATTGCTACTTTATTGGAAACTCGTACAAAAAGGTCTACGAAATAGTTGTTTTTTCTGTTGAGAAAAAAAAATAAGTGAGGCAGACAAGTAGACCAACACAGTCATTGTCATATTGATGTTGGATTCAGTTATAAAGTGTCAGCATATTAACACTAGAGGTCACACATTTTACCTAATGTTATCGGCAGCATCATGTCACTACAAATTGTCAATTTTTCTGGTCAAAATTGTTTTTGTTTTTTTTTAAATGTGGCAGTGAGGCAATTTTGTTTTTTTTGCGAAGATATTTGACAGTGCACAAGAGATAGGATACTATGCAGTAGTGAAATAAGAAACAGGATTTTTTTTTTGTCTGCCCAGTAATAAAAACTTGCATATTAAAATAGGAAAAATGAAGCGAAAACCTAATTTGTATATTAACAGTGCGGTCTTCAATACCCTTACTTGTCAGTACTTCTCGGACTTAGAAATAATGCGTGAAAGCAATGAAATTTACTTGATGTATGATATTGTTTGTTATTCAGAACATAACTACGGTACACTGTGAATGCCCTTCCTTTCACCCACTCTGAAAATTTCACAATGATATATATATATATAGCTAATACTGAAAACTGGCACCTGCATTAGGTGGCTTCTGGGTATTTTATAAAAAATTAATGCTAAGCTAATATATAGCTAATAGCGAAAACTGGTACCTGCATTAGGTGGCTTCTGGGTATAAAAAATTAATGCTGAGCTCAAAAAGTAATCAGACTGAAGAAGCTAACCTAAATACTATGCTGCTCAATAGTATGGGCAGATTGGATGAATTAATAAACAAGACTTGCAGCACTTTACACCAGTCTTCTATAGTTTATGACAGTAAACCATAATACTGCCATACATGTAAGGTTTACCTTAATTATGTACAAATCAAGATTCAAGTATAATATATGAATCATGCAGGAACACACCCACTCAGGCCATGCTTTAGTACTATCCAGGGTGACCAGGGTCTCCAGCAACCCCACAAATGTGACTGCACATTGTTTCCTGTTCTTGCATAAATGCCAGGGTACTGAAACTTCATTGATTGGACACACATTAATTGCAGTAATTAGAAACTTTGAATATTCTATTTTATAACACATTAAACCAGTAACAAGGGTGGAGGCAATACCCACACTGTGAGTGAGGCAAATGTTAAATGACAATAGAAGGCCCCCATCTTGAAACACCAATAAGTTACCCAGCTCCCTCAAGTCCGTCATTTGCACAGTGAACAAATTCTAAGGGGTCTACAATACATCACCCATCTACATTATATAGCCCAGCTAACAGAAGTATATTTAAAATAACTAGAAGCCACCTAATGCCCTCCACTATCAGTAGAGGGCACTAGTTACTGGTAATAATTATAAGACAAGCAGCCTCTCGGCTGAGATAGCTCC